ATTTACAACAGTATCTAACAACATATTTGTAGCAGACAAGATGCTCTATTAGTCTTTTGACAAAATTAATAGATTATTTGAAATCACATAATTTGAAGTTTTTATGCCTCTCCATCCCCTTTCATTTGATTTTTTTTACATCCCTTTCGTTTTAATTAGTAAGGCTTTATGGTGATTCTAATGTGTTGCTTGCAAATAATGATCTCTAACAGCCCCAAACTGATGGCTGCTCTTCAGGCACAAACCAACACAGGCATCACAATGGAGGCTGTGAAGCATTACTCTTCTTTTCTATAGAAGTTCAAAAGGCCAGTGATGACTGAGAGTCCAAACCACAATAAAGCCATGAAACAGGAACAGCCACTAGAGATACCACCTCCTGATGGCTATCTTCAAAATTACCTTCCCTGTGGCGTAAACATAATAATGAGCAAAACATCTCCTGAGTGACATGGCAGACACATTGAACTAGTGCATCTACATGCTTGAAAACTGGATGTTCCTGCCGACACATTTAAATATCACTATGACAAGCTCCAATGAGCTTTTCTGGTCATCAAACTTGCAAACTGCCACAGTGCAGAGCTCAAACCCTGAGCTGCCATATCTGAAAACTATCTACTAAATATGCATATGTATGGCAAATTTTTAATTCACTATATATTTCCTAGATAAGTCTGAAGTATTGCTGAACATTGATGCTATTAAACTCCCTATTCACTACTATCCAGTTTAGGTCAGTAAAAAAGGTTTTGAAATTATTATAAAGCTGCAACTATGTAGATCTATGCCTATTACTTTTAAGAGAAAAGTAGTGACCACTGGTTCCAAATATGATTACTTTAATAGTTCTTAAAATGTTACAGAACTTTTGAAAGGATTAATAGACACATAAGAGATTTTTCAAAGATAATCTTGTGAGATGACCAAGCAAGGGATTGTACTAACACACTGTTCATCTGTGTGATACATTTATGTTCATGTATAAGGTTAGGCAAACTCTAAGACTTCAATATAGTCTACTGTTTTAAGACACCAAACTAATGAATGAAATATATATGTATTTATGTATCTATAATTCAGTCATTAGTCAAACAGTTCTAAAATGACATAGTACCAAGACAATATTTCCCAGTACCAAAGTGGCTATCTCAAAGGATCAAAAAATATATACAAAATAATGAGAATAACACAGAGAGTTGTGGAGAACTGCACTATGAATATATAATAAGTATATGATATTAAGGTTATATGAGGACTGTGTCTGAAAACAAGAACACATATCAAGAGTACTGAAAACCGGGCCGGCCGAGTGATGGCGTTGGTTAAGAGTTGTCTTGGGAGTGCCAGCTCTGAGCAGCAGGACCCCAGTTTGGATCCCACATGAGGGCCAGTGACGCTGTGCCCTCTACAGCTAAGATGGTGAACAACAGCTCAACCTGGAGCTGGGCTGCCATGAGTCGCCGGCAACGGCACAGGCTGCAGTGGGGCTGCAGTGGGCTGCCGTAAGCTACAGTGAGTGGCTGGCAGCCGCTGTGAGCGGCTGGCAGCTGGCATGAGTCGCCGTGAGCTCCCGTCCAGTGGCTGGCAACCGATCTGCCTCACCTGGGAAGAGCACAATGATAATACCCACATGGGCCAGTGAAGCAACGTCCTCCACAACTAGACTGAAGAACAAAAGGATAGCAACTTGTCTGTTCCCCTTCCCTGATTCCGCAACACTGTTCCCCTCCCCCAATTCCCCAATAAAATCTTAAAAAAAAAAGAGTACTGAAAACCTTATTTGAGAATCACTGTTATTACATGCAATTAAGACACCAAATTACATCCTCGTGACATCATTAGCTGATAATCAATATCCAAATAAGGGGAAACTGCAATAACCCAGGAGTTCTTAACTTGGACTTCATTATGGTCTGGGCTTAAAGGGCTCTATGAGCCCTTTGGAATTTCATGTATGAATATATGTACATTTTTCTGGAAGAAGTAGCCACAGCTTAAATCAGATTTTCATAGGGTCCTTAGATCCCCAAAGGTTAAGATCCACTGTTCTAAAACCAGGCCCTTATTTATCTATGTATAAATTCATAACTAGATCTTGGATAATCTAAGTAATATCTCATAAGTCTGAAATAAAGAAAATTACTTGAATTTTCTAAATCATTCATAAAAATATTTTAGAAAAATATAAACTAGATTTATCCTAATTAAAGAAAATATCAACCACAGCAAAGGCATTGATGAAAAATAAGAATTTCAGGAGCCCTATTGCTGTGAGAATGAAAATCATCTAAGAAAGAAAATTTAGGTTATTCTGAAAGATTTCTTTTCCTTGGACTAAACAGGGGGTAGAAATGGTTACATCAGTATATCAGGACTTATTTATCTGAACAGATTCATATCCTATTCCCCTCTGTTTTTTAAAATAAAACATGGAAGCACCAGGATATAAAGATAAAATGTTGAGAGAACTAACAGTTCTTTTAACAAAGCTATTTTGGAAATGAATGGGTATATTTTTGGTTATTATTGGGTTGTTGGAAAAGTCATGATGTATTTTTTCTATGTTTTTGGTTGCTAAAATGCGTCATGACTTTTCTGACAACCCAATACAATGACTAGAAGCTACTCTGGGGGCTAGGAATGCTGGATGTCCAGGATTGAACTACATATATTAGGACAACAACAACTGACCCATATTCTATATGTCATTCATATGTCCTACTGGACATTCAAATAAATGAAAAATCTATAATCAGGTGAACCTTGAAACAAATTCCATTACACATATTTTTGCAAAAATATTTTTTACACACTTTTAATTTTCAAGTCACTAGCTACTGGGATCAACTCTGTAAATCAATGTAAGATGACTTTTTTATTTGGAAGTTTCCAAGAAGTGTTCGCCATTTTGGAAAATCATGTCACCACTGGTGCTATGGACTGAATGTTTGTATCCCCTGTCCTTGAATTCATATGTTGAAACCTAACCCTCAATGTGATGGTAGGAGGTGAGGCTTTTGGGAGGTGATTAGGTCATGAAGGTGGGGCCCTCATGAATGGGATTAGTGCCCTTATAAAAGGAGCCCCATGAAGATCCCTTATCCATTCCACCACGTGAAGAATATAGTGAGAAGGCACCACCTCTGAACCAGAAAGTAGGTCCTCACCAGACACCAAATCTGCCAACACCTTGATCTTGGACTTCCAGCCTCCAGAACTGTGAGACATTTCTGATGTTTCTCAGCCACCCAATCTATGGTATGCTGTTTCAGCAACATGAACTAAGACAATGGCAATACCATTCTTGAACTTGAGTAAGAACACAAACCACTTATATTAGTCTGTAGTTTTTTGCTGCTGGATCCAGGGTTACTCACATATGGTACAAACCCATGAATACTTCATTGTATCTTACTACATAGTCATGTAAGGCATTACCATTTGAAAACCATAAAAATTTCTTTTATGTTCCGTGAAGGCATTACATCAATTAAAAAAAAATTTCTGGAGAAAGGCTGTTAGGGAAAAACTAGCAAAATACAAATAAAGTGTGGAGTTTAGTTAGGCGTACTATACCAATTTTGGCTCCTTGATTGAGACAAACGTACTACAGTAAGATTTTAACAGTAGGGGAATCGGGATAATGGGTACATGGGCAATTTTTGTACTATCTTTGCAACTTTTCTGTAAACCTAAGATTATGCTAATACAAAGTTATTTTTTAAAAGTTTACCTTTAGAGATGCACAGAGATTCAAATTTGGAGAACTGTCCTTCCATTTCTGTTAATATCAGTTTTTCAAACTGTTAGGGTGAACTACAGAGCTAGATGTTTTCATATGTCAATAACAATGGAATATTAGCAAGTTCACATGGTTTTTCCTAGAATAGTTTGGGCCTCTTTTACTGGACTGTGTTTCAAAGTTGAGAATAAATGTACTTTTCATTTTCAGAAATAAAGAAAAATCTGTTGCAATCCATTACACACATGCGCTTGCACACACGCACACACACATACCTTCTCTCTGGCAAATTTTCTCCATGGTTATATTATCTATGATTTTAACTTGAGGCTAGTAAAGAAAGGTATTATAAAATATTTATTAAAAAAGAAGTAAAGAGTCTGAGATAGTTGAAAATCATTCAACTAAAAGCATTAATATGGGCTGGCAGAGTGGCACGTTGGTTAAGAGCTGGCTTGGGATGCCAGCTCTGATCAGCAGCGCCCCGGTTCGGATCCCACATGAGGGCCAGTGACGCTGCTCCCTCTACAGCTAAGATGGTAAACAACAGCTCAACCTGGAGCTGGGCAGCTATGAGTTGCCGGCAATGGCGTAGGCTGCAGCCCCTGCTGCAGTGGGCTGCCATAAGCTACAGTGTGTGGCTGGCAGCCAGCATGAGCAGCCGGCAGCCAGTGTGAGCTGCCAAGAGCCGCAGTGAGTGGCCGTCCAGAGGCCGGTGACGATCTGCCTCAGCTGGGAAGAGCACAATGATAACACCAACATGGGCCAGTGATGCAACATCCTCCACAACTAGACTGAAGAACAAAAGGACAGCAACTTTTCTGTTCCCCTTCCCCCAATTCCCCAGCGCTGTCCCCCTCCCCAAATTCCCCAATAAAATCTTTAAATAAAAAAATAAAATAAAATAAGCAGAAGAGAGAGATTACAGCACAGTTTATCTGTGAAGCTTATACCAAATTGCCATGGAAAAGAAAAGAATTAAAAGAAAAAAAGCAGAGTATTTGTAACCCTTTCTTAATGATAGTCCATAGGGTGGTATTTAACGAAGCTCTTTCATCAGTGGATTAACCCCGTATAATAAAAACATGTTGTGAAATAGGAACCCAAGAAAAATTCTGTGCTTTTGCAGAAGGCTTATGAAATTCTTGAACACGTTCAGTTTCGGAAAAGACATGTTAAGAAGAGAAACCTGACCGCAGTGGGAAAAAAAAATCTGGAAAAGCAATTGGCAGGTTTACCATCCCAAATCACTCACCTGTGCACAAATCTGATGCATGACATGACCAAACTCATGGAAGTAAGTCCTCACCTCATCGTGCCTCAGGAGAGAGGGACGATCTGCTAGAGGCTGTGAGAAGTTCACCACCAGGGCCGCCACAGACATCATGCGGCTCCCGTCTGGGAGGAGGCAGCCAGGCTGGAGGCCGAAGCAGGCTGCATGGTTGTATTTCCCTTCCCTAGGAACCAGAAGCATCGGGCGTGAGATATGAACATCCTTCTGCAGCAACAACATTGCCCTGGTCTCGCTCTGTCATCAGGTCATATTTGCTACATGTTTGATAGAAGATGCTTTGAAGCATTGAATTCACCTTGTAGAAAGTAGATCAACATTTTGTTAAAATGGAGAAACTAAAACTAAACCAAAAATCTGACTATTGCGTCACGTGAGTGACATCTCCAAGGTTTCTTTTGTTGACAAATCTTAATGTCGGATTTGAGAATATAGGCCACAACTTGTGTACAGCTGCAGTCTAACTTATTTTAATGAGCTCCTGATTTTCTTCTTCAAAGACGGAATCACTAAACACTAGTGTTGAGGCAAACCTGAGATAAAAGATACAATTTGATTCACTAGGTAGTTATTCCTTAAAAATAGAATTGATAAAAATCAAATTCTGTATAATAAGGTTGTTCCTTTCATTAAGGAGGGAAGAATCAGTATTTACAATTACATGAACTCCTTTGATAAACTACACAAGCCTTTTTGAAACAATGCTTTTAGTTAGCCTAGGGAAAAGCATAAATTATAATATAAAGTTGTCTATTCTTGGACAACATGGTATCAGTGATGGTCTCTCCAAAAGCTATGGGCCATTAGACTTTATTCTAGAAGTAGGTTTGGGGTGGATTTTTTTAGTTTGATTTGTATATATTTTTCTGTCTTATCTTTCCTTGGCGACTCTTATTACTCTTGGGTTTTTTCCTGCTGATGCTATTCAAGTTAAACAAAACAAAATAAAACTAGTCTTTTTCCAGGTATCTATGATGATGTATAAAGCTAGAAAGGGCACTGCTCCTATCCTTATAACAATAACATGCTGGACAATCTGCAAATTGCAACTTTTCTTGAGCCCGTCAGAAAGCAAAAGTTGAAGGGCAATCAACTAATCTAGTCTAAGACAGGTGCCTCCAAGGAGAGAAAGGAAAGGAGAAAACAAGTACTTAAAATATGTATTTTATTTACAGGAGGCAGATAATGCAGACACAATTAAGAAAAAAATTTAACAAACTGCTAAAGGCTAATGGTGAACCAGCAAACATCGGGAACCACCAGGAGCTGTAGGTAGGGGAGTTCTGCATCCATTTACAAGGTCTTCTCCAGGATCTCACTGGGTGCACACAAAAGACTGGGGCAAGATGAGAGCCCTTAGGAAGCATCAGTCCTGACACAGGCCAAGGAGCCGGGGGGGGGGGGGGGGCAGGGGGCAGCTGCTGTCCTAGAGGCGTAAAGCACTGCCTAGATCCTTCCACCCTGTCTTCTACAGAAGAAAGGCCTCAAACTTCTGGAGCAAGGGCAACAAACTGGTAAAGACCTTCTACCACTGGGGGAAGGAAGCAGAAAAAATCCCCTACGCCTGAAGGAAGAGCACGAATACATTGTAGGCCTAGACCTACCGCTGAGGGTCGGGTAGGAGCACTGAATCCTAAGGCCCAGACCTTACCTAAGAGTGATGCTTAATCAGAACAATGAGAATTCCCTCTTCCAAACCAGGGTAGTTAAAGCATCTGGTAACAAACAACAGCAATCTACTGCTGGGAGAGGAGCAAGAGCATGAAAAGAGACGTGCTCTGAAGCACAGCACAAAAGAAAGACCTAAAACTGAAGGTGAACAAACATGGAGAAAAACTCAGGCAAACCAGCTTCCATCCTAAACATGAGATAGAGGAATCGGAAGCTTTGGTGCATTGAAGTCAATGATAGCAATAACAAATCTCAAATCCAACTCAGCTACTAAATAGATTGAATCGAACACATGTTACAGGCTTAGTAGAAATAATTACTTGCCCTTTCCAGGTTTTGAAATGATTTACCTCAGTCTTTACCGTCTAATATGTCTGGCTTTCAAAAAAACAACAAAAAAAAGTGAGGCATACAGAGGTGTCAAAGGCAAAAAAACACAAGAAACAAGACTCAGATATGACAAAGATGCTGGAGCTCTCAGGCAAAGTATTTCAAGTAATTAAAATTGTTCACTGGTAAAAGTTATGGAGGATGTCCTCCTCTCACCAACCATTTTCAAAATCATACTGGAAGTTGTAGCTAGTAAGACAAGAAACTAAAATAAAAGGTATACAGATTGGGAAAGAAGAAGTAAAACTGTCATTGTTTGGAGATGACATGGCTGTCTGTATAAAATCCAGAAGAATCAACAAAAAAATCCCTGGAATTAATAAGTGATTATAGCAAGGCTGTAGGATACAAGGTTAATACACAAAAGTCAATCACTTTCCTATATACTGGCAATGAACAAGTGGAATTGGAAACAGATTACTATTTACATTAGCACCCCCAAAGTGATACACTTACATATAAATCTAACAAAATATGTACAAGATCTATGTGAGGAAAACTACAAAACTCTGATGAATGACATCAAAGAATAACTAAATAAATGTATATTCCACGTTTATGGATAGGAAGACTCAATATTAGCAACATGTCAGTTCTTCCCAACTTCATCTATAAATTCAGTGCAGTCCCAATGAAAATCCCAGCATATTATTTTGCAGATATTGACAAATTGCATCTAAAGTGTCTCAGGAGAGGCAAAAGACTCAAAACAGACAACTCAATATTGAAGAAGAACAAAATCAGAGAACTGACACTACCAGACTTTGAGACTAACTATAAAGCTACAGTAATCAAGACAATGTGGTAGTGGCAAAAGAATAGACAATAGATCAATGAAACAGAATAGAGGTCTCAGAAACAGATCCACATAGTCAAATGCTCTTTTACAAAGGAGCAAAGGCAATACAATGAAGCACAGATAGTTTTTTAAACAAATGGTGCTGGAACAACTAGATATCTGAATGCAAAAATAAAAAAATGTGTCTAGACACAGACTTTTTACATTCTTCACAAAAATTAACTCAAAATAACCTATATGTAAAATACAATACTATAAAATTTCATATATATATATTAACATATATATGAGAAAATCTAAATGACTTTCTAAATCTAAATGGCTTTGTGATGACTTTTTGATGCAACACCAAAGGGATGACCTATGAAAGCCTCAAAAGCTGAGCTTTATTAAAATGAAAATCTTCTGCTCTGAGACAGACACTATCAAGAGAAAGAGAAGATAAGCCACAGACTGGGAGAAAATATTTGCAAAAGATGTATCAGATAAACGAAATATACAAAGAACTCTTAAAACTCCACAAGAAAAAAATTCAATTGAAAAAAACAAATATATGAAAAGATGCTCCACATCATATATCATCAGGAACATGCAAATTAAAATACAATGTGATACCACTCCATACTTATACAACACTGACAACACCAAATACTGTTGAGGATGTGGAGCAATAGGAACTCTCATTCAGTGCTGGAAGGAATGCAAAATGGTAGTGCCACTCTGGAAGACAGTTTGGTAGTTTCTTACAAAATTAAACATACTCTCACCATACGAACCAGCAACTGTGCTCCTTGGTATTTACCCAAAGGAGTTGGAAATTTATGTCCAAACAAAAATTTGCACACAGATGTTTATAGCAGTTTTATTAATAATTGCAAAAACTCGGAAGTAAGCAAGATGTCCTTCAGTAGATGAGTGGAATAAACTGTGGTACATCCAGGAAATGGAATTTACTCAGTGCTAAAAAGAAATAAGCTATCAAGCCATAAAAAGACACGGAGGAACCTTACCTGCATTATCACTAAGTGAAAGAAGCCAATCTGAAAAGACTAGATACTGTATGATTACAACTATCTGACGTTCCAGAAAAGGTAAAACTATGGACAAAGTAAAAAGATCAGTAGTTTCCTGGAATGCGGGGTGAGGTGGGGGTGGGGTGGGAAGGGAGGTGGACCACAGATGATTTTTAGGGCAGTGAAACTACTCTGCATGATACTATCATGGTAGATACATATCATTATAATTTGTCCAAACTCACAGAATGTACAACATCTAGAATGAACCGTATGTAAACTATGAACTTTTGGTAATAATAATGTGTCAATGTACGTTCTTCAATTACAACAAATGTACCACTTTGGTAGGGGATGTTGATAATAGGGGAAGCCATGCATGTGTGGGTCCAGAATATATGGGAAATCTCTGTACTTTATGCTCAGTTTTGCTGTAAACCCAAAACTGCTCTAAGAAATAAAGTCTATTTTAAACAAACAAACAAACAAACAAAAGCCCCCAAACCCAACTTAATCCTTTATGAAGCAAGCATGTAAGGTGACAGGAAGTGAATATTAAGCAGGCCACTTGTCACCACTCTCACAAAAGATCATCATCTGGTCCCCATACCAGACTGCTGGTAGCAATGGCCATATCTTAAAGAAACCAATTAGATCTTGGCAGAGAGACAACAGGATGGGGTGGCAAGAACTATCTTTGACATGGGGAGGAGAATTTGGAGACGGTTATAAGAAGCTCCAATGTTGAAGGATTTCCCCTGAAAGAATTCTTGGCTTAAAACTGTATGCTGACACTTTTCAATTAAAAATAGACCCATCTACATTTGACATGGGTTTATTTTTAGCTCATCTCAGAAGTGCTAGTAAGTCCATAAAGCATTGGGATAAGATATCTCTGCCCACTGTCTGAACAACAGTTCTCTAGCCTTTTTGCGAGCAGCTACCTGATGTCACCCGAAGTCTGGATTTCAAACTTGTTATTGCTACTGAACTAGAGAAATACTGAAATATCCTTTGGCCTATTTATAGCAAAAAGGATTAGCAACTGTAACATGCTGGCTGTGTTTTAGAAAGCAGGCTAGAGAGAAAATGATCTTTTCCTGTCTGATGAAACACTGTGGAGTCCCAAGTTACCACATGCTACAGATAGAATATTTTTCATTCTTACCACTGATTGAATACCTAGCCTGGTGATTTGCATATATATTTTAATGTACAAAACAATCCTGCAAAGGGATTATCAGTCCCATATTACAGAGGAGAAAACAGAGTCTCAAAGAGGTTATGTTACTCAAACATTCCAGCTCAAGTTTGACTTACTGCAAAGATTTTTCTATTCCTATTACATAGTGCTGCCTCTCAGCCAGATTCAGGGGGAGTGGCTACAGATGTAAGAGTACTGGCAGACAGATTACCTGAATAACAAACATTTTGGGGGTCAATTTTAAATTAAGTAAATGCAGTACACAAACTAGATGATGATGATGATGATGGTGATGATGGTGGTGGTGGTGATAGCTGCTAACATTAAGCACTTGCTATATTCTGGGTAGTCTCTGGTGAACGCTTTGCATGCAATTAACCATTTATCTTTACAACAATCCTACAAAGCAGGTAGGATTAGCACTCCCATTTTATAGGCCTGTAAAGAAACTGAGGCACAGGAACATGAAGAACTTGCCTAGTAAGTGATGGAGACAGACATTCTGGCTTCACAGCCCACATCTTTAATCCCTGTACTAAGAACCAGAGAAGAGAACTATGGAAGGCAAGAGTGGGTAGGAGTCGAATCCCTATACAGTCCCTTCAAACAAAGTGACGGTCAGTACCTTGGATAGAGGTCCAAGTAGAACTGTCCCAATACTTCTCCTGTGGCTTTATCCTTCACCGTGTAAAGCGTAACACTTTTATTCCACACGTGAGCATCTGTCACTTGCTCAAATGAAAGTCCCAACAACTCCTGGTAGATGTTCAGCAAGCCTTCCGTGACCACTTCAATTGGGAAGTATTCCTTGAGGATCTCTTGGTCTATGGAGTACTTGAGTGCTTCCGTCTGAGTCATATAGTAATGGAGATCCCAGGCATGGATTTTCCCATCATATTCGAAACCTCTCTCTTCACATTCCTTTTTCTTCAGATTCAAAATAAACTCTCGTTCTGCCTCACCCAAGGGTTTTAATTTCTGGCTTAAATCATCTGTAAGGGAAGTGGGAAAAAGTCAACAATCTATTGCTCTTGGGGGCAAGCATGTTCACACATACCACTCGTGTTTGGCATGGTGCTTTTTCCTCCGCAGGACTTGATATGGGTAAACTGAGAAAGAGGGAGAGAAGCAGGGAGGGAGGGATGGAGGGGGGAGGGAAGCAGGCTCTGTTATGACAGCACTGCTGTTCTCCTCAAAGTAATTTATTTTATGGCTCCTCGCTCCTTTTTCTTTTAGCACCACCCAAACCAGGTAACTTCCTCACAGCATCAACAAAGCTGAAGTTTATCTCAGAGGACTCTGACCCAAGAGTGTTATAATTCAGGGAACAAAGCAATTGAAACTAAACTCATGTGCATGATTCTTCTTCAAAGAGGTTAGGTTCCTCAGGAAGGCAGAGAAAATTAATCGAATGCGATCTGTGATCAGTATGACTAAAACTTGCCTTTGATGGCCATGAGTTTAGTTATCACTACTCCCTTCCTAGAAAGAAAATCTATTTTGACACAGCAATTCCACTTTTTAGATGGATACAACAATTTATATACTGTGTTTAATTAATTTGATTATTTCACTGTATTTGGTGAAATAAATATGCTCTCATTACTTATTCTACACAATTTGTTCATATGTAAGATAAACATGTGTTTGGCTCTGGAAGGGACATGGCAGTTAGGGAGGCAACCCCACTGTGTGTGGGCTGGAGGGGTGTTGTGAAGAGAAAGGAGGAAACTCACAGAAGATTCAAAGAGATATTCTGATTAGGCCTGTCAGAAAATAAGTGAATACGAGTGACAAGAGGACAACTCAGATGCAAATATGCCCATTTTAAATTAGAGGGAAAACTGCTTTTTAAAAAATTAAGTTAGTCAAGTTGTTAAGGAAAAATTTCAGTAGCTGACATCACCACGAAAGGAAACATTCTCACCAAATCTGTTAGCTCCCTGAGCCATTCTCTTGTATAACATGCATCAGAATATATGGCCATCACCTCTTCAAATCTCCATTGTTACCACTCAGTGGGAAATTCACTGAGGAAAAGACCTCGTTTTATTCCTTTCCATGGTCTTACCATTTAGCATACTGCCTAATACAGAGTAGTTATTTCATAAATGTCTCAAGAATGAATAAATGAATCACATAATAACAAATAGTTACCCTTTATGGAACACCTGCTCCATGTCATAACTGATGCCAGCATATATATTAATAGCTCAAGGGATGGCCATTAAGGACATGGTGGAATAATCTTGGGCTGAAGGCTTATTTTTAACCCATTATTAAGCATACCCAACTTAAGCTAATAAAAAGACACCAAAGTAAATAGACTACAAACTTTGATTAGTTGTTAAAGGTGAATAAAGTTCGAAAGGGGTCAATAAGGAAAGTTAAAAAAAATCATACTTTGGTCAACTCTGATTAGAGAAGACTACAAAGAAAATCAGTATCGTTACCATGGCTATGTTAGTCAACCATTTTCACTAAGGTGAAAGAGGAAAACAAGAGTGACTATTGGAATAGTGATACCTAGATTGAGATGGGGATGGGGAAGAGTGATAGAGTACCAATGACTAAATGTCATAGACATAAGGACCCTGGTTTTAAAAAGATGAGTGAAAAAGTGCTTTACAATGAATGTGAATATAGTTTCTAGCTAACAGTTTTCATGCATATGATTTTATATTAGTTTTGTACATAATAAGTGGCTTCTGGAATACAAACTATTTTTTTGTTTATATATTTTATTTTCATTTATGTCATATTTGTTAGCTTATTTCATATGAATTCATAAGTAGCCATGCTATAACTACCAATCACCTATTGGCAGTGGGCTAAGACTGTCTGTTAGGACCCTACATGTCTTGTTAGGCATTAGTCTAAAAATCCCAAAGATACAAGATAGAATGAAACAGGGACTATAATAGTAATACAAACAGTGAGCAAACCTTAGAACCAACCATTACTTAACACAAAGTGATCAATAACTTTCTCTGAAATGAATGAAAAACAGGGTGTCCTCAAAAGCATATGAGGTTTGGAGGCCCTCTGTCAAGTTGGCACCATGCAGCAAAACAGTCATAGGAAAAGAGAAATGGAAATATACAACTGACTAAAAAAAGAAGAACCTAACCTAGAAAAGCTGTTACATGGCTTGTGCTCTTCGCAGTGTTCATTTCAAGGACAAAGTCAGCATGTGTGCTGTAGCCGAGCAGTTTGGCTACTTTGGCCCGAAGTGGGAGTAGCTGCTGCAGAATTGTGGTGTTTTCCTAGTAAAAAACAAACAACAAAAATTAATAATTAGTTGGCTCCAAAGCACTAAGATAGTTATTACATGTATTTTTAGGTTAGTGAGACTGTCAAATATTTTTAGACTATCTCAATTTCTAGTAAAGTATTTCATTTTAATGTTACAGAATTTTTTTTTTTGATTCATGATCCAACTGTATTTCTGAAATAAGTGACTTTTTAAACCTCAGGAGATAGCTGTGTGGTCTTAATAAAATTTTAGGTACTGTAAACTCAGAGTGAAAATGTATTCTTAAAAACTATAGTGATTCCATATTAGTTTCATTAACAGGACTACATCAAATATTGGTACCTAAATATTTTTTACATTGTGGTAACATCTTTTTCTTTGTTCAGTTAATTAATTTTGTGGTAAAATATCCATAACACAAAATTTGCCACTTCAAAAAACCCCAGAAAATAATAAGTGTTGACGAGGATGTGGAGAATTTGGAATCTTTGTGAATTATGAATAGGAATGCAAATTGGTGCAGCTGCTGTGGAAACAGTCCTCAAAAAAAAGCTTAACAGAAAATTACTAAATGATTCAGCAATTCCACTTCTGAGTATATAATCCCCAAAAAGAAGAAGCAGGGACTCCAACAGATATTTGTACACTCATGTTCACTGCAGCATTATGTGAATAACAGCCAAATGTTGGAAGCCACCCAAGTAGTCATCATTGGATAAACAAAATGGGAGAATGAGGACTTAGTGTTTAATGGGTATGGAGTTTCAGTTGGGAAAGATGAAAAAAATCTAGAGATACATGGTGGTAATGTTTGTACAACAATGTGAAATGTACTTAATGCCACAAAAGTCTACACTTAAAAATGTTTCAGGGATTTTTCTTAAATTATTACAAACATTTTCTGTATTTTATTTGTATTCAAAATACAAATAATGATATTGCTTTATTGTTTTCTTTTAAACAATAAAAGGAAAGGTAAATAAATGTCAAAGAAAAACTTCTCCCAATGATTAAATCAGCAAATTATTTATAGACCTGTTTCTAAGAAACATCATACATCAAGGTCAGACTACCTGGGTTCAAAATTTACTTATTTATCTATAGTAAATAAATAACCATTTATTTACTAGTTGTCTGATGGTTGGCAAGTCCCTCAACCTTTCTAAACCTCAGTTTTCTCATTTGTAAGATATGGACAATAATAGTAGCTAAGTCATAGGGCGATAATGAAGAAAAAAATGAAAATATATGTAAAGAGCACAGAAAAGTGCTTGTTACAAGAACAAACACACTACCTGTTATAATTAACATTAGAATGGAAACATGGATAAGAGAAAACACATAGTATAATTCTCCAAGGTCTAAAATTAACTAGTTTGAGTTTCTCTTTTACCTTTTTCTGTTTCCCTAGACCTTCTCTCCAGGCTGTCAATTTTCTCCCAATATCTATTCCTCTATTCTTCCTTCTAGTACTAGAATTCTCTGAGTTTCTCTTGGACACGTGGTCACCTGACTACTTTTCCCAGACTTCCTTGGAGCTAGCTGTGGCCAACTGATGCACACTGGGACAGTGGGATGGTAATGAGGTGATGAGTGAAATTTCTGGGTCATCTCTTTATAGGTGCTTGTCTTGTTAGCTGTACTGAAGGTGACAACAATGAACCTGGAAGCCACATAACTAAGGAATGCAGAGCTGTCCTCCAGCTCTGGACCACTCACCTTTGTATTGCTAGTTCCAAGAGAAATAAAACGTCTTTAAAAAAATTGTGGTTAAATATACATAACATAAAACATGCCATTTCCACCATTTTTAAGTGTACAATTCAGTGGCACTAATTATATTCAAACAGTTATGCAACCATTATCACTGTTTCCAAAACTTTTCCAACACCCCAAACAGAAACTTGGTAGCCATTAAGCAATCATTCTCCAGTCTTCCCAGCCCCTGGCAACCATTAATCCTCTCTGAAGAGACATTTTTATCTTACTTGAGTCACTGCGCTTTTGGTTAGTACAGTAACTTTTGTACAGTTGCATAACCTATACCCTGATACCCACAGAGACTGATATTAGCAATGGAGTGCTGCTATAACAAAAATGAAAAATATAAAGAAATGGAAGGTGAGGACACAGACACTGCAGGCAGCGAAGCTGGTAATCCTCAGTATATCATGGATAACAGTTAAAACTGTTGCTTGCCACAACTTGGAAAGCAGGCCAATTACCTACTGAGTGTTAGATGTAGGGGAATTCTTTGGGAAAACTAATAATGTTTGGTGTATGTTTGTTGGTATTTGTTGCTTTTAGAAAGATTACATAAGAGAGATGAGCTCAAGTGAGAATTGATCAGTTTGCAAAGATGGAAGGAAAAAGAGTTCTGCTAAGAGAGTTTCTGCCTGTGGCCCACAATCTGGGGCTTCAGATGGCTGGAAAAGCCAACTGCCCTGTAATCCTAACACCAGGAGAAAGGACTGTCACTCAGTTATTGAACTGCAGAAATTTGTTCGAGAATGCTGCCTTTCTCCTCAAGCCTTCTGTTTTAGAGGGCACCAAAGTGGACTCCAGCTGGTATATAAGAAAAGATTTTGTAGGTTTAAGAACTATGACCAAAAGGAATCTTTGGGTACACTTATTTTAACATGAATCTGATGGAAGCAAAAGTAAAGTTTTGATGGGATTTTGTTACCAAAGATATAAGCTTGGCCTACAAAACCTTATAATTATTTGATTCCTAAAGCAACCCTCAGGCTTCAAAATGGCATCATTAAGAATCTATATGAAGGGCTGGCTGAGTGGCTCAGTTGGTTAAGAGCTCGCTCAAGAGTGTGAGCTCTGAGCAACAGCGGTTCAAGTCCTGGCCCGAGCTGAACAGCTGCTGAGCTGCCAACAGGTAGCAGGATGGCTCAGCTAAAAAAGGAAAAGAATCTATATGAACAGCTGCCCAGGATATGGTCATGGAGGGTAATGGACAAGAAAGAATTTCCTGTAGGCAAAACCAGGGGCCACGGAGTACAATTGTTAAAGAAATTCCTGCCAGAAAGGAGATCTAATCAGTACAATGGGCTATCCAAGGAACTTCACCAGAGCGGAATCCTCACAATTCCTACCAAACTGTTTCTGAAAATTGGTATAGGCTTGCTATGTTTCCCATTCTTTCTTTTTCCAAAGGGGAGTTTCTAGTGTGGTTACTCTGATGCTATTCTACCACTGGCTGTGTGTGTTGGGGGTGAGTGGGCCAGACAACTTTTCATAGGTTGCCAGATTATGAGAAGCTACAACTGGGGAGGACTTTGTATCACTCAGAGGGCCTAGTCTTGGAGCTCAAGGCAGTAACTGGTTGGGATCTGACTCACGGTGCATGCATTTGACCAACGTGCTCATGGTTACTTGGATAGCCAGAGAGCTAGACTGTGGTGCAGCTGGGTAGGTGACTTTTAGAATCCATTTCTAAATGGAATTTTTCCTTTTAATAATAGAATTCACTCAGCTGAGCAAATGGTTGTCAATTAAAGATTACATTTCCCAGCCTCCCACAGTGGTTAGATGTGGCTATATGATGGAATTTGGGTCAATGGGATGTGAGTGGAGTTGATGTATGTTATTTCTAGGTCTTAAAATACTTGCTCTGTATTTTATTCTCCCTCTTCCCAACAGGCTGAGAAATGGTGACAACTAAAATGCCCTTGCAAGTTACTTGCTGAGGAAAGAGAGATGCCCCACAAGCCTGGACTATTGACTTGGGAGAAGAATGCAATTTTTAGTTTATTTAATCCATTCTACTTTTATTAGAATAGCTTAGCCTGGGCTGGCCGAGTGGCTCGTTAGTTAAGAGTTGGCTTGGGAGTGCGAGCTCTGAGCAGTAGGGCTACCGGTTTGGATCCCACATGGGCCAGTGACACTGCGACCTCTACAGCTAAGATGTGAACAATAGCTTGACCTCCAGGCTGTTGTGAGTCGCTAGAGATGGCGTAGACTGCAGTGGGGCTGCAGCGGGCTACCATGAGCTACCGTGAGCGGCCGGCAGCCAGCATGAGCTGCAGTGAACAGCCGTCCAATGGCCAGCGACCAATCTGCCTCAGCTGGGAAGAATGCAATGATCATAATACCAACATGGGCTGTCCTCCACAACTAGACTGAAGAACAAAAGGACAGCAACTTGTCTTTTTTTTTTTTAGCTGAGCCATCCTGCCACTTGTTGGCAGCTCAGCTCAGGCCAGGAGTCGAACCGCTGTTGCTTAGAGCTCGCACTCTCGAGTAAGCTCTTAACCAACTGAGCCACTTGGCCGGCCCAAAAGGACAGCAACTTGTCTGTTCCCCTTCCCCAATTCCCCAATGCTGTTCCCTCCCCCAAATTCCCCAATAAAATCTTAAAAAAGAAAGAAAGAAAGAATAGCTTAGCCTGTGGCCATACCAAGCAGGTTGCCAATGAGCAAGCAAAAAGCTAAGTCACTTGTAGGTCTGAGGAATTAGGAAGCATATTGCTCACACAAATAGGAATATGAGTCTCTGAGCTGACTTCAACATTGGTAAACAGAGCAAACCCTTTTCTTAAAACCTTCCATAAAAACAACAAAAAAGGCAAACACTTATGTACCTCTTTACACCTTGTATTAAAAGCCATTTCCATCTTCCTTCTGGTTTCAGGGACACAACATTTTTTCATGACAGGAAAATAGTGTGGATATTTTAAGGTAATTTTATACTTGTCATCATCCATCTTTTCTAAACTGTCAATGAAGTCATCAGGAAGAGCACCTGCAAAAAATCATTTTCTTATACATCAATTTTTTCCACTCATATAGGTTAATTTAGCATTGGCATGGTGCCTTTAAGAACTCTAGGAATTTTGTGGAGTAATTAAAATTAAAGTAAAATAATAACAATCTTATAATATCATTTTGATGTTATTGAAATGGGGTAGTGGTTAGAGAACAGGTGGCTTAGAAGATGGTGATTCAAAATACGAATAAGCTTCAGTGCACTTGGGCAGATGGTGTGTGGATGAAGAACAGGCAAAAGTAAACCAAGCAAGATCCAGAACAGATTAAGAAGGGACTGGTTTAAGTTACAATACACGGGACCTTGTGAAGCAAAAAATGTTTCAATGCACTAAAGGCTGTTAAACAGCATAAGTTATCAAGAAAGATTATGAAATGTCCTCAGGACCGTCTCTAGAAATAGTACACACTCTTATTATTCTAAAATCTAGGCATGGTTTGGTTATCTTTTCTGTGGAAGAGATGGTGGGTTATGTAGAAGGACAGGATCATTTTTTTAAGAAATTCATTTAACTTTGGTTTGACAAACTGTAAGATGACATTATTTGCCTAAATTATATGATTTAATCTAGAAAAGATAACAAAATTTTACCAAGTTCAGCCTTGGAAAATACAAGGAAGGTATCGTCCTCATTGAGGTTTTTGTTAAAGTCAATACATAGCTCACTCATTCTTTTCTTCATTGCTTTGATTTCCTGAAACAAAGATTGAAATACAAGACATTAACAATAAAACGAAACATCCATATTTACTGCCATCAGTCAAATATGTTTCACTTTTCTGTGAAGATTGGCTTCTGAACCCAACCCTCAGGAATACTTTCTTAGAGATGTGCTTGATAAAATACTTCTCTGCAGTCTCCTGTGTTGTGTCCATGAGCATCTGTTTGCAACTTGTACAAAAAAGCAGTCCTGGAGATGTGTTAGAAACTGTCGTAAATGTGCAAGAACTAAGTAAATTTACAAGGTATAGTCAAAGCAGGGTCTGGTACATAGCACACACACAATAAATAGTTGCCGAGTGGATGAATGAATCTAGTAGCCCATTAATAATGAGCATATTTCTAACCTTTTCCAATTTAAAATTTTAATTTAGTAAATCAGTACTTGTTGCTGCAGTAAGCCAAGAGATAAGAACTGAGTAGTTAATTCTATGGCTACTTTGGGGAAAAAGTTATGTCTTAGTTTTGTAGAACGTTTGCAAACAAAGGTGTTTTACAAGTTTAACATTTGTATAAAAAGCATTAGGTGGGACATCAAAGGAAGCAGTAAGAGGGAAACCAAAAGAAAAAAAACAGGAAATCACTTTATTAATCTGTCTCACTCTTCTAAAAATGCAAGATAATGAAATTTATATAAACCACAGTGGTTCTCAAAGTGTGGCCCTGAGCAGAAGCATCATCACCACCTGGGAATTTGTTAGAAATGCAAACTCTTGAGACCCACACCAAACTTATGGAAACACAGATTCTCAGAAGTAGGTCCCTGCAATCAGAGTTTTAACAAACCCTCCAGGTAATTCTGAGGCCCACTAAATTCGAGACTGCTGACTTAACACCTACAGTGTTGTTTGCAAACGTTCTGGTCGTCTCCCCAAGTTCTCTTTCACTTCCTCCACATTCTACAGCAGTCATGTGGTTTGAGTGAGACCTGATCCTATCTGAAGTTCCAGGGGTGTGACCTCTGCACCAGTTGGGTAATCCCATCCTCACTGCAGTGGCAACTGGTTCAGGTAACCCAGGACTGGCATTCCCCTGACTGAAGTCGGATTTAGGCTTAGGCATATGATTCAATCTGGGCTATTAAGACAAGAGGGAAGGTTTGATGAGGGCTTCTCTATGTCCTTCTGGATGGTGGGGTTTTTAGATTTGCAGCCATTTTAGAAACAAAAGGAAGCCCCTTTGGAGAGCACTAACACGGAAGAAGGCAGAGTAGAGAAATAGAAAAATCGCCACTGAGCATCTGGATCAAACTAACCCATGAAGCCCAACTACCTCTGGTCCTCCCAGATAAAAATCCCTTTTATTGTTTCAACAGTTTTGTTAGCCGCAACCAAACACATTCTAACGAACGCAGTGTTTGTGCCCCAAACAGAACTGATTGACCAGAGAGCAGTTGTAACTAGAATGAAGAGGACGGAAGATGTTCAAAAGGCATTTAGGAGGGAGAAAGGTGCCGTATCTCAGTGGTGCCTTCGGGTATATCTGCCATGCTGACATCACTTGGTTTGTATATTTCTTTCAAACTTGTTTCTAGTTCTACTGCCTAGAAGAATCACCTGGAAATAAGTCATGGGTTATTTTTTTCCTTTCCAAAAGAATGAAGTTAATTCTGCAGCCGAGTTTATTCCTGAAACGAGAAGATCTGACTGGCATTACACAAAAGAAAAAGTTTGAGAAGCGCTTTGAAGCAGCTAGTCTCTCTGCCTGTAAGGGGCATGTATTAATCATAGGGCACGCCATTCCAAAGTGCTGGTTTTAAAAGTCTCCATCATAAGTATTTTATTACTAGCGCCCTATCTCTGTAAGACCACGGAAATGAGACTACAAATCAACTATTAAGACCTGGGGCTAGCTATCAGACAACAAAAGAGAGAGCAGAGAAAACAAGCCCAGAACACATGAGACAAAAGTTGGAAAGGATTACAGAACAATTCAGTTATCGGTTGTCAGTCACCATGAGACTAATAAGAGATGTAGAATTTAAAATCACTGACTATCAAATACATTGTAAATGGATTTGTATTATGCGTTATTTCCCGTATTCCATATGTTTCCCCATTTCCTGTTTTTGATGTATTTTGTTTTATTTATTATTTTTCCCCCAGTAACAAAAAGAAACATAAACTCACATTTTGTACTTGCTCTGGAAGATGGAGCCCATTCCTTTTCCCCATTTTAACTGACTTTTCCAAGTATCGTCTGGCTTCAGGCTTTATCTTCCCCAGGTCACAGGTTTCCTGAAATTAAAGAGGATGACAACCATTTCTGTTACAACAGTGCCTGGGGAGATGATGAACTATGAGGTCAGAGCAAATCTATTTATCACCTTTGTTGGGCCATGAAGCACATAGGTGATTATGAAGCAGGCCCTTTTGAAGACCTCATTTCTCTTATGCTTTAATGAGCTTCTGCTCATTTAAAACAGAAAAATTAAATAAATAAAAAGCTAACCAGACTTGCCTTGCCTCAGAATCAAGAGTGCCTGTTCCATTCGCAATGGTGATAATAGGAACATTTGCAAAATCTCATTCTGAGCATTCTCTATAACCAAGTGGTCTTTTTCACAAAACAAATTCCTTATTTCCAATCACCTGGATTTAATTTTCTATCATTGGCTAACCTGGTTCCACTTGAAAGACAGGAATAAAAATAAGGGGCAAATTCTACACAAATGGAGGACAGTGGGATTCTTTTGCCAACATACCAAAAAAGGACAGCTGGATAAAACTCAGCAAAAGACTTCCAACACTTAAAAAATGCCTTATTGTTATTTGGCAAGAGAGATCAAGGGACTACAGCACGCTGCGTCCGAACAGGTATCTAGGGAAAATGAGTCAGCACTGTACACAGAGAAGGAAAGCTGGACAGTACAGCTGAACCTGCAAGCGGCAACTCAAACAGCACTCACTCAAAAGAATGCAGGGCCCTGGGGGGAAATGGAAAATTCCCCTGGCCACAGCAAGGTAAAAAACACCAGCTGTTTCTTCAAAACAGGTGGCAGAGTATATATACATGGCACATCTGGATGGCTGGTCAGCTTGGGGTGCTGGGGAGGAAATGGACTCCAGACAGACTCGGCAGGTGTAATACATTTAGTTTGGTTTGAGGGCCTTTTGTCTCTAGAGCCTTAGAGGTCTCTCAGCTGTAGAGATCTACCATTGGCTGCACTCTCTCTCTCTCCATGAAAGAACTGGGCTGTCCATCCCTGAGCTTTATATTTTCCCAACTAATTATATCTTTAAAAGAACTCTGCTTAGCTTTAGAGCCTGCATTTGATTGTTGGCACAAGGCTCTTGCTGCAACAATTCTGTAATTTTTTTACATTTTGTTGCAGCAGGTAAATAGAGTTGTATTCTAACTGAGGGTACTACTTAATACAACAACCTGTATCTCACTTTGCCTAGCAGTAAAACATTTTATGTCATAGTATTAAGACACTCGTTGTGCATACATTACTCACACTTTCCCCTGAGTTTATGCTCAGTGGAGGCAGAGAACCGTCACTCTTTTTTCCATAATAAACTCCTTTTATGTCCCTGGAGAATTTCTGAGCATGCTGGCATGACTGGAGTTGTAATACTCGCTAGCTGGTATTGGCACACACGGGCATCCCAGCAGCAGGTGTCTGCAATGGGTAGAAGCTCAGAATGGCCAGGAAGGTAATGGCTGTGGGCTGGTTCCCTCAGGGATGGCCAGCAGTTCAAATCACAGTGCTCATGCGGATGTGATTAACCTGGCTTTACCAGCGCCAGGAAGTCTGTCCTGAGCTGTGGGGAATAGCAACAGGCGTCTCTAGACAGTAAGACAGGAAGTTGTAAGGCTGGGGATAACGTAGGCAGTAGCTATGTACAGCAGGAGGAGAGGAAAAAAAAAAGTCCCTGATGAAAAGGGCCTGGCAAGAGCTGGGTGAAGGAACCAAGTTAGCAGGTTGAGATACAGAGCAGAGGGCCTTCCCAGCAGGGCAGTGACCGAGGTAGAAGCCAGGCACACGGCTGGACAGCAGTGTGGGTACTTGGCGGGGTTCACCGGTCACATTTAGCCCTGACCTAAGGACAGAGACTCATCACAAGTCTCACCAGCAGATGAAATCAGAATTCTTACTCTACACTCTGCTTGATCAGGATTGGCTCTCGTACTAGGTGGGCCTGGACTTACCTACCTGGGAATAGCAAGGCTGCCACTTCAGGAAGCCTGGAAGTATACTCAGCATAGTAAACTCCAAATTCATGGTCTAGATTAGGTAAAACCACAGACTCCCCAGATAGTTAATACAAGTGTAAACAGGTAGAAAGAAGGATGTTCTGAGAACAATCAGCCCTGAATTAGGTCTCACTAAAATGACTAATTATCTGTACCAAAATATGTGACTTACCACAAAAATCACACTTAACAAAAATCTGACTCGATTATAACCTTTGCCAGTCAGAAGACTCTGAGGTCTTGGGAAACCTGCGGAGGTCTCTGGTAGGGGTAAGGTACTTCTAAAATGTGCTTCTAAAGCACATTCCTGGCCCGGAGCTGATCATAATATTCTCCCTTATACTCGCCAGCCAATGTCAGAATTACTGCCCAAGGATTTTCTAAGAGGGAATTAGCCAACACTTCTAGACTGCTCTGCTGTAGTTGCATCTTCCTTTCTGAACAAGAATTTAATCCCCTTGACTCTGAACCAGGTCTCAGGCATTTTGGGCTGATGTTTCTCCTCTTTAGGAATGGGACCTGGGGGGGTGGGGGGGAGGGCTAAAGGTCTCTGAAGTAATTTTCAAATTTATATAATCTGACAGCAGAGCTCTTTTTAAATCTCTGTGGTGACAAGATTTAGTTTCCTCCCTAACTTCCTCCTGTAACAAAAAGCTTTTATGTAAATGTGTGAAAGCACACACATACTCTTACACACATATGCTTGTATTTTGCATTTTAATTTTACAGACAAGAAAGCTGAGGGTAAATGATTTTCCTAAGATCACACAGCTATTTAGTGGTAAAAGTGGGGGCAGAAATAAATTCTTCAAATTCTTAGTTTTGTTCTTTGCCCAATATGCCATCATCCTTAATTCATTATCATTCTTTAGAATTTCATAATAAAAAAATGAAAAATTTTCTCAATTTCCCCCAAACCCTCTCCACCGTCTGTTCCATGACCTTGCCCTTTTCTCCACAAGACCTTCACATTCCCAGTTGCTAAAATATGTAAATAAAAAATTATTTTAGTGGGATTTTCTGTATTGTGTATACAAAGTAGAAACTGCAATGCTGTTCAAAGAACTCAGGATTAAGCTAGTATGTTACTCTGAATATTATTTAGAAAAACTGATTCTTAAACTTCAAATATGCTAAAGAAATATAAGACAGAGTATGATAACACAGACCCTATTGCAAAAGCTAAAATAGAAGTATAACTTGTTTAATTAAATGTTATCTTTGCAGTTTTTCTTTTTTTTGTCTTTTTTTTTTTTTCCAATCAGTTACATTTATTGTTAGGTTTCTATCCTACTATTGTAAAGAGGATATTCTTAGGCAGCTGCTGACATTATGGACAGAAAGGCTGCCAAAAGGCCTGCTTGCTAACTACGAACTCAATATGCCATCATAAAATGTACTGCTTCTGTGTGGGCCACAGGCAACGTGAGGACAGGGGTGGGAACCACACTGCATGAAGACATTTTAATTGGGACTAGTTTAGTTCCATTCGACATACATGTACTGAGCTCCTATTCACGCCAGGCAGCAGGGGAACAAAGATGAATATCCTTGAGGCGCTTTAAGTCACATGAAGGAAAAAAAAAAGACACATTAGCAGATAATGTCAATATCATGTAGTGGGTGAATAGAGAGGTAAGTACTTGGGAAGCACAAAAGAGGAGTGCCTGTCTAGCGGGGAAACTAAAGCAAGATAGTTGATGCTTTATATGGGATCCCTCGGCTTTTAAAAGCTTGACAAACGTGCAAGTTTCAGTAGTATTGGTTATGACCCATGACTAGACTCAATACATGTCAAAATTGAAAAGGCTTGCTAAGTAAAAGGAATTACCATTACCGTGCTGAATTTTGGACCTAGTTTCCTTCCTTTCCCCTCCTTCGTTTCACTCCCTTCCTTCCTCTTCCCCTCCCTCCCTGTCTTCTTTCCCTCCCCCTCCCCCATTTTTTGGCATAGTTTTAAAGCACTTATTCTTGTACTTTATTTTGGTACTAGCTCTGCATGGCTACTAGAGTACATCATAATGCTTAATCCCATGACCTATTCATTTACACAGTAACATTAAAACTTTTCTGTTTAAATCACTAATTGGCTAAGATTAATTTGTGAGACCAAAGCCCACAGCTCTGGAAAAATATAAATATAATAACAGGTAACAGTATTTCTCAATTTAGCTTGCATGATTCAGACTCTACTTCACGAAAGAATCCCTCTTCTGTACTTATTACTTAGCGGGCCACTGGGATAAAATATTATATGCCTGGATCATTTTAACATGAAGACACTATATTTTTCTCACCAATGTCTGGAAAGAGTGTCTATAAAACCTTTTTTTATTCTTTACTGGATTTTTAGGTAATAATTGAGGAACCTTTGTCAGGACTGTGAAATGATATTTACCATTAAAGTATCCGATCTAGAAGAAAACTAATACTGATAGTAATAGATTAAAAAAATACTGCCTGTTCTAGACTTACTGGGGGGGATCATTTCATAAGCTATATAAATGTCTAACCACTATGCTGTACACCAGAAACTAATATAATATTGAATGTCAACTATAACTGAAAAAGTTTTTTTAAAAAAAACTGCCTAAGTAAACATAATTATTTGTCAAGGAAGGTATTTAAGTTCAACAAATAAGCTCCAATACATAAACAACACAGCAGTTATTTTTTATTACTCTGATGTAGCCTTAACAGACATCGTAAAAGCCCCTAAAAATGTCCCCACAATAACCCACATGGATGAGGGTAATTAATCCATTGGAAGGTGGAAAAATTAGGGCACCAAACCTGAAACTACTATAAATTATTACAATAAAATCCTGAAGTTAACTAGCCCAAACAAATCTATGAATCTGATGAACGCACTGGTTTTTTCAGGTCACTGTGCTGTGCTAATCTACTGTCTAGTCAGCTGTACAGGCAACAATTTGTCCCCAAATTTAGTGGGATCAGTCTGCAACATATAGAAAATTTACAAGTATAACAAAGAAATCTAAAGTGACAAAGCTTCCATATCTTGATGACATTGATAAAAATCAGAGAAGTTACAACAGTAACAAAACATTAGACTTGATTAATAACATGAAAATTGAAATACCTTTTTGAGGACAGAAAAATCCCAAATGAGAACTCAGAAGTCAGAATGAAAACAGAGTAATCAAAGACAATTAGAAATTCTGAGGAAAGTTCTAAAATACATATATAATACATAGCTAGAACGGAAATTAGATTATTTTGGGATGAGGTAAAAATAGGAGAGTATAAAGGCCATGATTTGAATCAAGGAGAATAATAACTGAGGTCAAAAAGAAAAAAGGAAGCAATTTGACTAATAAAGAATAATCAATCATACAGTTATTTTAATGTTATTTTTATAGTGCTAAAGATGAACAATACTGAATCACATGGATGATTACATATTAAAGGGTAAAAAAATGCTTGTCTGACATGAGAAAATAGACAGCATATATTCTTATATGTCTAAATAAAGTCTTGATTACATAGTCTATAGTGAGTTACAAATAAAAACGTGAAATAAGACTGCTTTTTATTTCAACTCTTGTCAAAATTTGCTAAAAGGAACAAAAGTTTTGAGATTTTGCATAAAGAAATATGCAAAGCGAAACAAAAATGCCTAGGGTTGTAAAACACTGGTTGTTTTCCAAACAAACTGCTGAGGTGTCATGGAAATAAAAATTCAAAGCAAAGATATAATGATAACGCTAGAAAGCAAGTCAACATTGGTGATAAAAAGATCAAAAACACTCAGCGCAGACCCACTTACAACATTTATTTTCCATGATTTCTGTGAGTTCTGAAAAATGTAAGGATGACAAAGAGGAATGACTCTGGTGTTTACCATCAACAACCTATCATCAATATCAAGGCCAAAACCACATCATATGTATGGATAAACAGCTCAATTCCATTTGCTTCTAGTTAATCCAATCTAATATAAACCTGGAAATATATTGAAAATTCAAAGAGGTTTTTACATTGAACCATCAAGTTCATGATGGCTAAAAAGCCTTAGATTTATAGATGTTCTTTTACACTTGGTCTTTAATTTTAAGAGAGTGTAATTAGCAGCTACACATAAACCTAAGTAGTATAAAACATTATATAATACTGTGCTATGCCCATCATTATTATAATTAGAAACAATGCCTACCAAAGAGCATTCAAATGCTTTTTATTTTTGATCAAAGGTTTCTACTTTATTATTGTAGATTTCTTTCCTTTCAAAGAGATTTATAACACCATTTACCTGTAAGTGGACAATTCTCAGAAATATGTCTTCTCTCATGCTCATCTCGATATCGAAACGAGAAAGTCTTTTGTCTGCGTCTGTGCTTGCTGCCCGTACTTCTTTGTCAGGGGAGACATGCTGGGGAAAGTCTAGCATGGTTCGTTCCACTGTTAACAGAGCAAAAAACTGTAAGGCTCATCAAATCAGTATTAAGATCAATACCTCCTATCTAGAAGAATGATTACCCTGATAAAAGATTTTCACTTCATACTATCTTTAACTGTTCCGAAGGCTATCAAGGAACAGCATCTAATGTAGGACTTGGCTGTCCCAGTGGCATCATTAGGAATAAGGGTGTGCACTGAACACATACCGAAGTATGTTAGGGTGTAATTTATGAACTGTAGAAAAGTAGAGACATAGTTTTCACACTGAGGCATTTTATAATCTGGGGAGGAAGGAGTAGGGAAGAGCACATAAACAGATAAAGAGCCACACAGGACAGAGCAGGTTAGTTGTCAGGTAAAGGGGATAGTAATTCAAAGGCAGCGATACCCAGGGCTGGGGCACCGTGTAATGCCTTATGGAGAAGGTCGGACCTTAGAGGATGGTGGGGCAAGACCAAGGGCTCAGTAGGGGCTTGGAGAAGCAGAGATTGCAAGCCAGGGGACTGGCAGAGACAATGTTTAAGAAACGAGCAGAAGAACTTAGTGGGATGGGGTCTATTTAGAAGTTCTTAATCTTTATTACAGGCTCCTTAGAGAATTTAATGGAAGTTATAGACCCTCCAAACATTCATATAAACATAAGAAGTTCCATACAATTTCAGAAGATTCCCAGAAATCTCAAAGGACACATCCAGTAAGCATCTGAACACTGGGGCTTTCCTGTTAAATGATGGTGGTAATGCATAGTCTACTCTAATTTTCCCATATTATAGTTGAATCTTGGGTTTTTCATACATTTGTATTGACTTTAACTGGGCAAAAATCTGATGTCAGTGAAACCTATACTACAGGAAAAAAGTAAATATGGTTTATAGTGATGGTTGTTATGCTGTGACAATGAGTACATTTTTATTTTTTTATCTTTAGTACTTTGAAGGTATTATAAATAGAATTATAATATTTATTATAAATAATAAAAATTATTAAAATTTACACATGTGGTATATGTAGACAGTAGAGCTACACTTTATATACGGAGAAGTTGTACAGTAAAGCAAGCTGCCTCACTCATATCAGTCCTCTTTACTGTTACAAATAAAGGTATAAAAAATTGCCACAAGTATTTGAATAAATCCATAACGTGTGTTTTAAAAAATCAGATTAATTATTCTTTTAGGTTTTGATTTAGTATATAATTTCATGTCCTGTAATTACAGAAAGAATGGAACAGATTTAAAATTGAATATAGACAGCACCTAAGTGATATAATTAACTGTATAGCAATAACTTCTGTTTACTTTGTAAAATGAACTCTAAAAGATTATTAAGAAGCAATAAAAATTGCACAAGAACTTAAATGAGCAGAATAAAATGCAGGAGCCTAAAATTGGAAACGTATCCTTAAACAAACAATAATAATGAAAACCATTTCCTTCCTTACTTTGCCACAAAGGCCTGGAACCAGACGCATGCTCTCATTGCCAAACTACAAACAGCGCTGATGCCCAGGACCTGACACGAGACGGTGGGGTTTTAACAGCTATGGCTAGAGGCAGAATGAATTCTGTGAACACACACAGATAAGAGAACGCCAGTCTTTAAACATGTATTCCTAGTATGATTAACCCCCAAAGACAAATGTGTGGGAGAGCAAGAACAGATATCACAAAAGTATATTTAAAAGCTGTCTTATTAGAGAAAAAAACCGAATTTAAGATAATTCTTTAAAAATATAATACTTTGGTTTTTGTTTTTTTTCCTGTTAATTTTTATATTTGTTAACTGCATTAAGTTACCAGGCTGGCACACCATCCTGGCCATAAGTGACTGAAGACGTATCTGAACCCAGGACAAACCACATACAGGGTGGGAGATGCACATGAAATTGCCTGCTGGAAAAGCTCTGCTTAATGGGGACCAATCCTTTGACTTTGCCTAATGAGACCAACCAGATCCTTTTTATTTCAGAGTTTAAACTCAAGGTTTGTAGCAAGATTTAGTGGCCATTAATGAGAATGAAGCAGTTGGTAGGTAGTAGAGGCAGAAATTGAAACATAACTGCAGAGGTCAGAGAAAGTAGCCAAGTCCCCATTATGGTGGGACGTAGCGTAGGGAACTCTTGGTGTTCAGGGATTGATGAGGGTAAAGGGATGACCAGGTTACTAGGGCTGTGGAGGATTCTGGACAACCTTCCAAATTCCAGAAGACATACACAAATGTTTTTGACATACAGTTCTACAGATATAGTACTGCTATATTCTTATGAAGCCTGGATACACAGCCAGGTTGTTTAGCCATAATTATCCTACAAAATATATTCAACCCTTAGAGGTCACCAGTGTGAATCTTTATTTCTTATAACTCAAAGGATTTACACTTATATTATAAAAATAATGTATTTTAAGTGTAGAATATATGTAAGTAGAGAATAGCATAAAGAGAAAAGTAAAAATCAATCGTAAACCCACCACCCAAGATATTAACCATTATTCAAATTTGCATATTTTCTTCTGGTTTTCTATGTCCAAATTTTTTTCTATGTCATTAAATACTACTCCTACACATGGTTTTAATGGCTACACAGTGTTACAGGGGGTGAATGTATCATAATTTATTTAGCCATCCTATGGGTTGTCACTTAAGGATTGTTTCCAAGCTTTTGCTATAATGCAGTACCTGTCTATACATAAATGTATACACGATTTATTTCTGTATCTGATTATAGCCTTAGATTAAATGCCTAGATGGGGAATTATTGAGCTAGGGTACAAACTTCTTAAAAGTTTTGATACATATTGTTAAAATGCTCTCCAGAAAGTGGGTGTAATGAGTGTACATTTTATAGCACCTTTGCCAACATAATACAAAAAATTATTAGGTCATTCAATTCTAAGCAATTAATTAGTCATTATGTAAAAATCAATGTCTTGTAAAATTGGAAAACGAATTGCCAAGACAGAAAGTGTAAAATGGTTAGGATGCCCACAAAATGAAATATTGATGTGTTTTTGCATCCTACTTACCTATATATTTCACTTCTACATCAGCCAGTGCCTGCAAACAGTTCTCGTAAGTTACTTCCTCAAGGTCAAGCATTCCAATAGCATCGTACACCTGTTTGGTGTGCACAATGAGCTCCTCAGTTCTTGTTTTAATTTGCTCTGGTGAAAGATCCCATCTTAAAACATTTCTGCCAGCTGCAGTATAGGAAGACATTGCCTGAAGAGGAGACATCACTTCTCTTCCAAGCGTCATTCTGAATAAAACCCTGAAACCACCAACTCTGAAAAGAATCAGAAAAAGAACAAAATTTAGGCATTTTTGTTGGTCCAAAGTTAATACACAAATGTGTATTACCGAATTTGATCTGAAATTAAAAAGAAGTTTTTAATAAAATTGAGCACATTTCTTTCAGGTGAACACATATGCACAAAATTAACTGCTCTTGTATTTTCATTTTTTTCTTGAATACTTATAGATTTAGTAGAATATGTACTTCCTAAACACTGAATTGTTTATATATAATTAAATCATCAGAAAAAAAAAGTTAGGTGTCAAAGAAATAACTGTCCTTTATAAATTAAATCAGTGAACTTTCCTATTTAAATGTCTTTCCTATGCTAATGTTCACCTACTATGTATATAGACTCAAAAACATTTTGGGATTCAGCAAGGAAACATTTTAAAAATTCTCTTTTTATGTTGAACACCAGTTAAACATTTTTTTCCACCAAAATTTCATGTAACCCAAGAATGGGAATTTCAATTTAAGACTTGGAAAATAAAATCTGGTATAGCTATGACATTATCCTAAAAGAAAAAAGAAATTAAGAATAATGATACCAGGGCCGGCAGAATGGCACGTTGGTTAAGAGCTGGCTTGGGATGCTTGAGGGCCCTGGTTCAGATCCCACATATGAGGGCCAGTGACACTGCCCTCTACAGCTAAGATGCTGAACAACAGCTCAACCTGGAGCTGGGCTGCCGTGAGTCGCCACTGCTGCAGTGGGTTGCCATGGGCTACTGTGTATAGCCAGTGGCCAGCAGCTGCAGTGAGCGGCAGTCTAGAAGCTGTTGACTGATCTGCCTCGCCCGGGAAGAGCACAATGATGGTGCCAACTTGGGCCAGTGAAGCAACGTCCTCCACAACTAGACTGAAGACCAAAAAAACGACAGCAACTTGTCTGTTCCCTTTCCCCCAATTCCCCAATAAAAAATCTTAAAAAAAATAAAATAAAATAAATGAATAATGATACCAATCCTTCACTCCCTTCAACACTGAAACTAATAATTCATGCCATGTATATATCTATCTACACATATGTATGTTTGCGTGTCTAGCCAATTTTGAGCTTACAAATAAAAATGCTATAATAGGCAACATTGATTTTGTGTTTGGGCACTGTACTAAATGCATTCCATTTATTAACTCAGCTCTTACAACAGCCCTATGAGGCAGACAGATACTGTGATTATTCTTATACTACCACAGAGGAAACTAAAACACAGAGAACTTCAGTAACTTGCCCAAGGTCACATAGCTAGTTATATGGTGGAAGCTAGGATTAAAAACCAGGTAGTACAGATCTAGGTTCCATGCTCTATGCTAAGCTTCACTCCTATTATCTTACAAGAGCCCCAAACATCCTTATGACGTAAGTAGGGCATTATTCCCTTTTAACATGATGCAATTGAGGTTCAGAGAGACTGACTTGTTTAAGGTCATTTGCTCCACAAATCTTTATGACCATGTGCTGTGTCTGGTCACTGTGACAGGCACCGAGGAAAAAAGGCAAATCAACTAGGACCCTGTTATTATAATATGGTGGAGAAGACAAAGTGATGAACAGGCAATTATACTGTATTGGGATGAGGGCTATGATAAGGGTAAATAGAGGGAACTCTGAAAGACCATGGAAGGAACTTTTCTAGGAAGATTTTCCAGAGGCTCAAGGAGAAAGCCGAGATCTGGACAATGTGCAGAAACTATCCAAAGGCCAAAGGCTGTAAAGGGAGAGCAGTCTGACAGGTAAGTAGGAAGTACTGAATGCACAGCCTTGGAAATCATTAAAGTTCAACATTATTCTGAAGGCCAACGAGACAGCCATGAAAGCGTTTTACTCAGGTGAGCGATGAGATAAAACACGCATTTTAGAGGAATCACTCAAATTATAGTGAGTTGAAATGTTTGGAAGAGAGAGATCATTCTAGAGGGAAGTTATTACTGTAATTGGGGCATGATTATAGTACACTGTACTAGGAAACAGGGCGAATTGAGTGATTTCAAAGATATTCAGAAGTAGAATCAATATGAGTTGGTACTGAATGGATGTGTGGGGGAGGAGAGTTGAGGAGGATGCCCAGGCTTCTGTCTGAGAAATGGATGGATGGATGGTGGTGCCATCAATAAAGTAGGGAATGGAGTTAGCAGGGGGAGGAGGACGCTTTTGGGGAGTGGGGGAGAGAAATTCAGTTTTGGACATGCCAAGTGGCTGTGGCACATATAAGTGGAATTCATCATTATTAAATGGTATGCAAAAAAGAATGACTTGCTGTTTAGGTAAACTGTTTCGTAAATACTTTTTTAAAGACAGTTGCTAAAAAGCCAACCTAAAAAAAAACCCCTGCTATTATAGAAGTTTGAGAAAACATTGTGAAGATTTAGAAGATCTCTGAATTCAGATTACTTGTCTTTATGTGTATTCTTGTTCTACTTTAAAGAACTGAAATTGGAAATAAAAAATGATGCATTTTAGGTGTAGTTTATGCAAGGACAGTGAGGAATGCCATTCAAATGATTCATACTTGACAAAAAGGCCTTCACCTTACATAAAAATATTTGGAAATAAACAAACATTTATGTTTTGTTTGAATACATTGTTCAAGCAATCTGTCGTTTTTTATAATTCTACTTGAAACCAATTTTTTCAATTAATTATTAAATGACATATAGAGCAACATCCTAATGGAGGTGAGAACAAATGGCACACAAGGTTGGACAATTAAGTTCAAAATTATTGCAACACTGTTGCTAACCCTTTTTGATACCAGAGGGATTACTCATTATGAATTTCTACCAATTGGACAAACAGCTAACCAAGTTTACTATTTGGAAGTGCTGAAAAGCCTGCGTGAAAAAGTTAGATGCACTGAACTTTTCGCCAACAATTCATGGCTCTTGCATCACAACAATGCACCAGCTCACACAGTACTGTCTGTGAGGGAGTTTTTAGGCAGTAAACAAATATCTGTATTTGAACACCCTCCCTACTCACCTGATCTGGCCCCCAATGACTTTTTTTTTTTTTTAAGTGGGGAAGTGTGTTTTTCCAGGACCCATCAGCTCCAAGTCAAGTAGTTGTTTCAATCTAGTTGTGGAGGGCACATTTCAGTGGCCCATGTGGGGATCAAACCAGCAACCTTGGTGTTATGAGCACTGTGCTCTAACCAACTGAGCTAATCAGCTGCCCTGATGACTTTTCTTTACCCAAAGATAAAGGAAATATTGAAAGGAAGACAATTTAATGACATTCAGGACATCAAGGGTAATACGACAACAGCTCTGATGGCCATTCCAGAGAGAGTTCCAAAATTGCTTTCAAAAATGGACTAGGTGCTGGTGTCAGTGCATAGCTTCCCAAGGGGAGTACTTCGAAGGTGACCATAGTGATATTCAGCAATGAGGTATGTAGGACTTTCTCTAGAATGAGTTTGCGAACTTAATTGTCAGACCTTATATAAAACATGGGCAGTGTAATGTTTCAGATAGGAAGAGAAACTACAGTATTAGTAATATCAATAAAACAGGTAAAACGGGAGTAGTTAAAGTAAAAAAGTTAGATGTCTGAATTTAAGAATTCAAAAGTTAATAAGCAGTCTGATGGGCTGGCCGAGTGGCGCATTGGTTAGGAGTTGGCTTGGGATGCCAGCTCTGAGCAGCAGGGCCACCGGTTCGGATCCCACATGAGGGCCAGTGACGCTGCGCCCTCTACAGCTAAGATGATGAACAACAGCTCGACCTGGAGCTGGGCTGCCGTGAGTCGCTGGTGACTGTTTAGGCTGCAGTGGGGCTGGCCTGCAGCGGGAGTGAGCTGCCATGAGCGGCCGTCCAATGGACGGCAAGCAACTGCCTCAGCTGGGAAAAGCACAATGATCACAATACCAACATGGGCCAGTGAAGTAACATCTTCCACAACTAGACTGAAGAACAAAAGGACGGCAACTTGTCTGTTCCCCTTCCCTGATTCCCCAACGCTGTTCCCATCCCCCAATTCCCCAATAAAATCTTTTAAAAAATAAAAATAATAAGCAGTCTGACAAGATCCAGGATATCTTCCTGAAAGTGGATGGTTGATATAAACAAGTTGAAGAGCGCAAAGGGCTGACAATCTCCTATTGGATAAATTGTCTACGTTGAACACTGGCATCAGCAGCAGTTAGGCCTGGGAGTAGAAAAGAAGACTGAATCAGGAAGCCAAGGCTTCAAAGAATGGAGAGGACAAACCAGATAGTTGAGAGAGGACAACACGGGTAGGGTACAGAATGATAAAACCAGATTGAGAGCCTCAACGGTGTTTTCATACACTGGTGCATAAGTGCTGGTCTGGGAGAATAACTCCCCAGGTAGGAGCTGGGGAACAAAGAAGATGTGACTCTTTCCTCCTTACTTTGTGGTATGGAATGTGGAAGAAAGGGGGGTGTAGGAGAAACATTTTCCGCAAGGTTGAGTGGATTTCAGTAAAGGTTAAACGAAGAAGGAACAATCCAGAGAGTGTGAAACAGTGGAGGTCCTCTCCACACCCCACACCCCCCGCCCCAACTATGGGACAAGTTTCCAGAAATAACAAGGGAGAAATCTAAGCATATAGTGAATAAACAGGTGTGGCTGTCCAGCCATTGACCTCTTCCCTTATGTAATTATACACACATTTTCTTCCTAGTACCCATGCATTCTCCACACACAGCCCATGATCTTTAAAGGTGGCTGTGCCTACCCTCAGAGCTCCTGTGAATGTAACTGAGAAAAGTTTGTGTCCTTGACTGAAGCTGGCATCCATCTTATAAGAGTGGAACCTCACTTATGAAATGAACACTGTAAATGGAAGAATAAAGGAAGGAAACCAGATGCTTACTGACATCACTAAGCCCCTAGATCAACTAATTCTGAAGTGTGACCCAGAGCTAGACTTTCCAGTTATGTGAGTCTATTGTTTAAGCCAGTTTGAATGTGGTTTTGTTATTTCCCGCATACAGGATCCTGATTGATAAAGGAATGAAAAGTGA